TTTAGCAAAACAACTCAGCCTTCTGGAATGAGCTTTCACAGCATAGTTCACTGCCTCTGCTACCAATCATCAAGGCCTTTTTAAGACCAAATGATAACTCTTGGTTTGAGAGCAATTACTTGCATTACGGCATTATATAATCAAATCACATAGACAATCAAAATGCACCTAATTCCAAACATCTATAATACCTAGTAAGGGGTTGGTACCGATTTAAACAACTGAACAGTTCAATAGTACTAGCACAAAATGGAACAAACTTGCTCATATTTTGGACTACTTTTTAAATTCTCTTTCCTCTCTGATTTACAATTCTCTGCTCTCTCAGGTATGCATTTATGAGTGATTGAAGAGTGGCAAAAATAATTCCTCAAGTCTAAATCTTCTTCAGGCCAATTTTATTCCATAGCAATAATGTTGTGAGGCAGTTTTAATTCAATCTCACAATACATTTGATCAACCACCTCAGTATTATTATAAGTTTTATTAGCCTCTACAATATTAAATTTACCTGTGATTTTTGTATTGTGGTACTCTAATACATGGTATAATATAAATCAAACATAATGACATATTATTTTGTCCCTCCCCGCAAAATAGGCCTTTTCTCATGGGAGTGGAGGTTAGAGGCCATGTCTGTATTATTTTAGGATTCCAAACCTCTTGTAAATTCCTTTCTCTGGGCATATGGTTTGATGGATAGCATTTTCCTGGGAGGAGACATGTCCCCCAGCAGGGCCTATTTAATCCCCATTGGAAGTCATCTAGTCCTATTTAAAATGTGTGAAATACCCACAAGTTACACTATAGAAAAATAATAGTACTCAATTGTGGCACTAAAATTGTTAAAGAGCACCTCAGTATGTTGTATTCTTCAATTACGAATTTCTGTAGACTGGGAAACACATCAGCCTGTATGTTACTGATGTAATCATTTATCTAATAGAACTTCACTTTTGGTTCCCTTCACCTTCAGTTGCAAAACATAATGCTATCCCAATGCTCCTGGAGTCAAAAAAATAAAACAAACAAAAAATCCCCCCCAAAAACCCAAAAACAAACAAAAAACATAATGCTGCATGCTGGCAGACTAGCCCTTTGATTCTTTGTTACAGCCACCTTCTTAAACAGGTATTTTAGTTATCCATTTCAATTTCCTATTAACCATGACTTTGAAAGTGATAAATGTAAGTCCATTGAACACAATGTTATTTTGCATGTCATTGTCTATGTGAGTGGAGAACTGAGTGCCATCAGTTTATTTGACTAAGATATAACTGATCTTCAGTTTAGATCAGTTAAAAAGGTAGAAATTGGCCGGACCTGGTGGCTCACAGCTGTAATCCCAGCATAGCGCTTTGGGAGGCCAAGGTGGGTGGATCAATTGAGGCCAGGAGTTTGAGACCACCCTGGTCAACATGGTGAAACACTGTCTCTACCAAAATATACAAAAATTAGCTAGGTGTGGTGGCACACACCTGTAATTCCAGTGACTCAGGAGGCCGAGGCAGGAGAATTGCTTGAACCCAGGAGGCAGAGGTTGCAGTAAGCCGAGGTAGTGCCACTGCACTCCAGCTTGAGTAATGGAGCGAAACTGTGTTTCAAAAAAAAAAAAAAGTTAGAAGTTTTCCAAAATTCTAAGTTTCTCTCAAGTCTGAGATAGGGGAATGGGATGGGTTGGGAGAGTATCAGTTTGCCTCTTCCTTCCTCAGAGTCTTTTTCCTGTTGGAAACTGCATCTTTCTGGCATTTTAAACTGAAAAAAGATGTAGGTTCTGAACTCAGGTATTTGCCTTTAAAAGAAATCTGGTCCTCTTCTTGCTTTTGAAATGGATATCTAATGAATACATATCAGTTGGAATTATCCAGTAAAGCAGCTTCTGGCTCAGGTTGTGATTGGCACATGGGAAAGAATAGTCTTTTTTTTCTTCAGGGAAATTATTAAGGAAGGGAAAATGTAATTGATATGGTTTGGCTATGTCCTCACCCAAATCTCATCTTGAATTGTAATCCCCGAGGGAGGGAAGTAATTGGATTATGGGGGCCATTCCCCCATGCTGTGCACTCACATGCTGTCTCTTGCCTGCTGCCATGTAAGATGTGCCTGCTTCCCCTTCCACCATGACTGTGAGTTTCCTGAGGCCTCTCCAGCCATGCAGAACTGTGAGTCAATTAAACCTCTTTTCTTTATAAATTATGTCTTTATTGCAGTGTGAAAACAGACTAATACAATAATTAATTACTCTTTCTCTTCATTTTAATCAATTTATAATCAAATGACATTAATAAATTATGATAGACCATAATGTAAAGATTTTAAAATAATTTATTAAATCAAAAATGGATCACACAGAATGACTATATATGAAGAAGGATTTTATATAATTTTTGAGTTTACAATTCCATTTATAAAATTAAAAGTATACAAAATTAATTTATGTTTTTAGATGCCCAGATAGTGCTTACCTATGAGGGCTGAGTAACTGGAAAAGGGAAATACTGAGGTGCTTCTTGATATAGGTGGTGGTTACATGGTTATGTTCAGCTTGTAAAAATTAATCAATTATCAATTTATGATTTGTATACTTTTTTGTATGTGTATCATACTTAAAAAAGTAACAAAATGAAACAAAGTGCAGTCTCTGCCATTAACTTATGTTCTATTAAGAGGGCCAGCAAGAAAATAAATCTCCATTTCTGCTGCTCTTCCTTCCTTCGTGTAGTGTTTTTGCACTTGGCATCGTTTTCCTTCTGCCTGAAGAACTTCCTTTAACATTTTTTATGTTAAAGGAAGTGCAAGTTTGCTGGTGGTGAATTATTTCAGCTCTCATATACCTTAGAATCCTTTATTTTGTCTTTGTTTCTAAAAGCTTTTTTTAAAATAAATATAAAATTCAAGGTTGACAGGTTTTTTTTTTTTTTTTTTTTTTTTGCTTTCAGCACTTGAAAGATACTGCAGTCATTGTTTTTCTGCTTCTCTTGCTTCCGATGAAAAACCTGCTGTCACCCATCTTTTTATTTTGTATGTTTTGTGTCCCCTACAACCCCTGCTTTTCTTAAGCTTTTCTTTTTCACGCTGGTTTTGAGCAATTTTATTTGAAATGCCTTGTATAGTTTTCTTTCTGTTTCTTGTGTTTGGGGTTCATTGAGCTTCTTGGTTTATAGTTCTCATCACATTTTGAAAGGTTTTGACCATTGATTCTTTAAATTGTTTTTTTTTTTCTGTTTTCTGTCCCTTCCTTTCTCCTTTACTTCTGGGACTCCTGTTACACATATATGAGGTCACTTGAAGTTGTCCAGTAGCTTAGTGATGCCCTGTTAATTAAGAAAAAAAATCTCTTTTATTTTTGTGTTTCATTATAGATAGATTATATCATTATGTGTTCAAGTTCACTAATCTTATCTTATGCGATCTCTGATCTGCCATCAATCCTTTCCAATGTTGGTTTAGTCCAGACATTCTAGTTTTCATTTCTAGATGCTTGATTTAAATATCTTCTATATCTTTACATATCTTTTTGAAAATATGGAATACAGCTATATTACATTTCCCTTTTTCCATATTCCATCTGACTATTTTAATGTCTTTGTCTGTTAATTCTAATACCTGTGTCATTTCTGAGTTGATTTCCATTGATTGATTTTTTTTCTCCTCATTATGGTTCACATTTGCCTGCTTCTTGGCATGTCAGGTAATTTTTAATTGGATTTAAGACATTGTAAGTTTTATATTGTTGGGTACTGGATATTTTTATGTTATATAAATATTCTTGAACTGTGTTCAGGGTTTCAATTAAGCTACTTGGAAACAGTTTGATCCTTTCAGCTTTTACTTTTAATATTTGCTAGGAATAACCCAAGAATATTTAGTATAGGGTTAATTATTCCTGACTGCTGAGGCAAGACACTTCTGAGCATACTACCCAATGTCCCGTGAATTACGAGCTTTTTCCATTTGGCTAATGGGAGCAGGCACTACAACCAGCCTTCTGTGAGCATTGGGTACTATTCCCTCTAATCTTTTTGAGTGGTTCTTTTTTTTGCCTGAAAGCATTTCCTCCACACTGTGCTAATCAGTACTCTGGTGAATACTTGAGGGGGGTCCTCTGCAGATTTCTGGAGTTCTGTCTCAGTGCAGCTCTGCAGTTCAGACTCCTCTCTGGTACTCCTGTACTCTCAACTCCATTTTCTCATCCCAGGAGTCTCCTGGGCTCTGCCTGGATTTCCCCTCTCTGCCCATGCCCTGGGAACTCTCATGACAGTAAGCTGGGCCAACTACAGGCCTCATCCCTTTTCTCAGGGATCACTGTTCTTCCTTGTTAATGACAAGTGCCTTGAAAACCATTGTCTAATTTTTTGGCTATTTCAGATGAGACAGTGAAATTCAGCCCCTGTTACTTTATGGTGTCCAGATGAGAATATTTAACTGAATCTACATGAGTTTTAAAAATGGCTGGGTGCGGTGGCTCGTGCTTGTAATCCCAGCACTTTGAGAGGCCGAGGTTGGTGGATCACTTTAGGTCAGGTATTCAAGACCAGTCTGGTGAACATGGTAAAACCCCATCTCTATTAGAAATACAAAAATTAGCTAGGTGTGGTGATGTGTGCCTTTAATCCCAGCTACTCAGGAGGCTGAGGCAGGCGAATTGTCTGAACCTGGGAGACAGAGGTTGCAATGAACCAGTATTATGCCACTGCACTCCAGCCTGGGCAACAGAGCAAGACTCTGTCTCCAAAAAACAACAAAAATGAACCTCACGTGAGTCCAGTTTATTACCTATATAATGTGTCTATTATATTTTATAGATATTATATAATTTTATTTTAATAATGGGAGATGAATGAATCACAGTAAGGTGTTTAAGGTAAAACATTTCACCGTTTCTTCTAAGTACTTTTTCAGTATCAGTTAAAGGGAAACTGTTACCACAAGTTTGCTTTATCAAGAATCAGGAAGTATTTTGAGATCAGCATTAGATTAAAATAGTGTTGTTTTGAGTAGAAGACTATATATTTTAGGTATCTGATTCAAAAACATACTTGTCAGAATTGTCTGGCTGGATTAATTTGCTAATTTGATCTTCTTCATCATTTGATGTGATGTCAAATACTAATAGCACAACTAACTCATCCCTAAGTGCTCATATTACTTTAGCATTTTTTATGTCCTTACTAGCTTTTGCTATAATGCTAGGAAATGCTGTGGTCATTTTAGCTTTTGTGGTGGACAAAAACCTTAGACATCGAAGTAGTTACTTTTTTCTTAACTTGGCCATCTCTGACTTCTTTGTGGGTAAGTTTTATATCTTTATTTAAGACATTTTTTTTTCCAATTTTAATTTATTTCTAAAACCTGAAGGTAACTTTTGTTATTTCAGGGTACTGTGTACAACTGGGAAAAAAATAAACAAAAAAAGTTTAAGTATTAAATTTTGGAAGGGGGCTATAAGGTACTGTAAGGGACCATTATACATATGTAAATCAGTGCTATATGGGAACTTTCAGCTGAAAACAGTTTATTTTCTTTTTATAGAATAAAGATAAGTTCAGAATAGCCCCAAAATTGTTTTAATGTAAGAGCTACTTGTTTCTGGTGGTATTTTCCTTGTATGTTTAGACTTGTAAGTATTCCTCTGTAAGTAAATATCATTTTCTCAGTATCACAGTGTTGGAATGATACGAAATTATGTATATGCTAGTAACCAGTACAATCAGAACATGGACTATTCAAATCAATTAAATAATATGGTCAATAGTATTAATTTAATGATATGGTATACAATTTTGTAAAATACACCCAACTGTAAACTACCTTGCATATATCATAGCATTATATAATTGTTAAGAGATCATAGAAATCAAATCAATTGTTCTTTGAAGATATACACTATATAATTTTTCACTGCCTGATGATGATTTTTAAACAATGCTTATCATAATAAGTAGATGTGAAGTGTCAGCTGATGAGGTTGTTTTATAGGAGTTTCTAGTATAATTTAATCTGGCATATTCAGGTTGTTTTTGTTTATAGCTACATAAGGTTTACATTTATGTTAAAATGAAATAAACACATAAAATACTTAGTTCATTTCCTGGAATACAATGATTACTCAATAAGTGTTAGTTCCTTTTTTTAAAAAATTTATCTGCAGATATGGGTCAACCCCGATCTAGGTCACAAATGTTAGTATAGTATCCACCATGTATAGTAGGTACTGCTAGGTATGCAAACACTATTAGGTAATCAAAGGATCTATAGAAGATTAGGTTAGTCTCTTCCAGTAAAGTTTTGATGTAGAAGAGTGGACAAGAGACATTCAGAAATGACTATAGCAGTATACAGTAACATGAGACCCCAAGAAGACCTAATGAGTGCTATGGTCACTTGGAGGAGGGATAAAGCACGTTTAGTTAGCAAACAATGGCATTTAACATGAACTTTGAAGGATGGATAGGATTTCCATAGGCAGTGATAGGGTGGAGAGGAGTATTCCGAGAATGAGCAAAAGCATGCTCGCAAAAAATCATTGTGCTTATCTTCCTAAGGGAGAGCTTGGAGCTGGCTGGTGTGCAGATGGGTGCAAGGGAGCAGTAGAGATGAAGTTGAAGTCTATACAGTGAGGGCCTTAAATACCAGGGTGAGAGTGGAGTGGAGTTTATTCAGCAGGCCATGTGGAGATATAAGGATTTTAAGGATTTTAAAACAGGTGAAAGGATCAAAGCTTTACTTTAGAGGCATCGGAAGGGCCATAGAAGTGGGGAAACCGGAGTACGGGGTGACATGGTTTCAGAGATTATCCTGCAGCAATCTAGGCAGAAATCATGCAGTTAGAACCTGAGCTAGGATGATTGGAAAGGAAGGCCAGCAGGCAGAGCGGCTAAGGGTTGGGGTGGGCAGGAAAAGAGAAATGTGAGTTCAAGACTGGGTTTCTGAGACTAGGAACAGTATGGGACTCTTCAAAGAAACAGGAAGCATTTGGGCAGGGCAGCTATGGTTCTGATGTTGCATTGAAAGTTCTGGAGAAAAGTTCTAGTTGAGGAAATTGATTTATGAGTCATGGCATAGAAATGACAAGGCAGCTAACCCTTAAAGTATTGAAAAAATGTAACATCTCCCCATTTGCTTCCTCAGTTCTGTTCCTTCAGGTAACCAATATTTGCCGCTTGAAGTAGATCCTTCCACATCATTCTCTGTGCTCCCATAAACATGTACAAATATACAAGTTTATTTATGTGAAAATAGAGAAGGTTCCACTACAAATATATGTATCCCTTGCTTCTTCCTTCTTCACAGAATCCTGTGACTTTCAGATGACAGTCAGTACTTAAAATAGATGATGTGTTTTTACTAATCCAAAGAGAGTGAGGCCCTGACTGTCCCAGTTTTAGGGAGGGACAGGTGAGGCAGCTGAGAGGGCCTGAGCCCTGAAACTTTTGAATAAAGATGGTTCTATGGCTGGGCTTGGTGGTTCACACTTAAAATCCTAGCATTTTAGGAGGCCAAGGTTGGTGGATCACCTGAGGTTGGGAGTTTGAGACCAGCCTGACCAACATGAAGAAACCCCATCTCTACTAAAAATACAAAATTAGCCAGGCACGGTGGCGCATGCCTGTAATCCCAGCTATTGAGGAGGTTGAAGCAGGAGGTTGCTGTGAGCTGAGATCGCGCCATTGCATTCCAGCCTGGGCAACAAGAGCAAAACTCTGTCTCAAAAAAAAAAGATGGTTCTAGATCGAAATGTCTCCATGTCTGGCCCAAGGTCAGCATCATGGCAGTCCCACCCTCAAAGGCTTGAGCTTATCACCTTTGATGGTCTCCTCCATCAGCAGGTGGGTGAGGAAATAATTCAAATAATTTCTTTTGCTCCTGATTAAGGGAGTCGGGTGCAGGTCAGGTCAGAGTCTCCATTCATCTGCCAGCCTCATCCCTTACATCTCTCCCGCCTGGTGCCGCTTCATCCAGAGGTTTGTATATTTGATGCAGGGCTCATCATGACACAGTCCCTGGGAGCTTTTTGTAACAGGATGCAAGTTTTCTGCCAGTGCCGTTCTTTCTCCTTTGCCATGCTTGGAAGTGAACCTTTCGTCTCTGAGCCTGGAAAAAGGCATGGAGGTGGTGAGCGTGCAGGGCAGAACTCATAAGAGGTTTTCTGCAGCTATAAGCCATTGATTCTTAACATTTAGGGTCATGAGATTCAGTGTTTCAGAGCCATGTGACAATGGCAGGGCAGATTAGAACCTCACACGTGGTTGATACTGTGGCCTTTCTTTCTGATTGCCCTCTTTTCCCACATTTCAGAACTGGCCCACTGTGGAGAATCGAAATTTGTGGCACCCAAACTGCTAGCTTCTCAGGCTGAATTTACTGTTGAAAGCAATGATTTATTGAGGAGACATTCTAGTACTAGCTATACCAGATGATATATAAATAACACCTCATCTGTACACTATTCTGAGAAACACATACTATCTATATCTACATCAGTATCTATGAAAGTGTTATCATGTGACCATTGTTTCCATTTATGGGAAGTTTATTCTCATCTACATGTGCTGGCATTTGTGGCCTATGTGACCGTGTGACAGATGGCTGGATAGGATCTTCAGGGGATAAAGGTGGTTGCTGCTATCAGAGCCTGAACCAAATGTTCAGACGGGCAAAGTTTATCTTGATACCTCTATGCCCGAATTCAGGACTCTTTCCTGGCCTTCTGCATTCATCTGCTCAGGCTGCTGTAACAAAATACCCTAGACTGGGTGGCTTAAACAACCGACATTTACTTTCTCAAAGTTCTGGAGCCAGAAGCATTTCAAGATTCTGGCCAGTTTTGGTTCCTGATGAAGGCTCTCTTTCTGGCTTGCAGATGGCTGCCCTCTACGTGCACCCTCAGGAGGCCTTTTTCTGAGTGTGCACAGAAAGACGGAGGGCGAGCTCTCTGCTATCTCTTCCTACAAGGACACCATTGGATCAGGGCCTCACTCTTATTAACTTTTTTACCTTTAATTTTTTTCCTTAAAGGTCATAGTTCCAAATATAGCCAGATGAGGGGTTAAGGCTCCAACATGTGAATTTGGGGAGGGTACATACACGTTCAGGCCATAACACCCTCTGTGCACTCACGATCATCCACACATTCCTCTGGTGGCCCAAAAGATTTACTTGGCATTTTAACTCCTCCCACCTTTAATTTCCATTTTCTCGTGGAAGATGTAGCTTCTTAGCTGGCTTAGAAAGAAGGGACAATACCAGATGGATGGCAATTTTAGAGCAAACTGGGCTTCCCCATCCTTATCTATTTGTTCATCCAGCAATCATATATTTTAAAGCAGGCGCTTTCTGAGGTGCTGCGTATAGAGCAGTCAAAATACAGGTGGAAATCCCTGCCCTTGTGATGCTTCTATTTCTACTGGGAGCAGGGGCATGGAGACAGACAATAACAAGAAAAACAATTAAGTCAAATTATATGGTGTTTTAGAGGTTGATAATTGCTACTGAAAAAAATGCAGACATGAAGGAGAGGGAGTGTATTGGGGGTGGGGCTGCAATTTTAAACCTTGGAGCTAGAATTTGCTGAGAAAGACACATTTGAAGGCCAGGAGCTGTGGCTCACACGTGTAATCCCAGCACTTTGGGAGGCCGAGGCTGGTGGATCATTTGAGGCCAGGAGTTTAAGACCAGCCTGGTCAATATGATGAAACTCCTATCTCTACTAAAAATACACAAATTAATTGGGCATGATGGCACCTGCCTGTAATCCCAGCTACTCAGGAGGCTGAGGCAGGAGAATCACTTGAACCCAGGAGGTGGAGTGCTGCTGTACTCCAGCCTGGGTGACAGAGCCAGACTGGAAAACTGCCTCAAAAAACAAACGAAACAAAACAAAGCAAAAAAGAAAGACATTTGAGCAAACAGAAGGTGCCCTTGGGGAAAGAGCATTTCATGCCAAGGAGCAGCAGGTGCACAGGATCTGAGGTGGAAGGGTGTGTGGTGCATTGGAGGCCAGAGAGACTGGGGTGGAGTGATTGAGGGGTGAGGAGTAGGAATGGGACTGTGAAAGTGGGGCATATAGTTTTTTTTTTTTTTTTTTCCAGTTTTGTCTTAATCTATTCAAGAAACTGGCTCTTAGTTTTACTTATCAACTCCATTTGACCCAAAATCATAATTCCAAAATTGAAGGTGTAGAAACAGTTTGGAGTAGGTATATCAGAGAAATAGTTTAGATTCGCTTTTTTTGCAACTTCTTTGGAATGAGCCACAGACATCTCTTGCTCAACCAGACGGAGGAAATGACACAAGTAGAGAAACATTACATAGACTGCAGGGTGACAGCACAGCACAGGGGTTATGAAAATCAAAGGATTACCCCAGAGCCTGTCTCCAGCCAACCAGTTTCCAGCAGCTCCTACGCTTTCAAACACACTCTTCCTCTTTGGTGTAAATCAGAAAGCGTGTGACAAAGAGCATTTACCTCCCACCTCTCCCCTGCACCTCTCAGTCACTGGTGTCTAGAATGTATGACTGGCATCTCTCTTCTTTTTCATTTCTGTGGGAGAAATGAGTGCCAGTGTAGAAAATCCTCATGTTGAGAACAAATGTCTCTGTTTGGTGGATACTTTTATTTCCTTCAGTGCAGATCAGCTTAGATGAACAATTAAAATGCCTATAGTCTCATATTTTTCAAACTGCTAGTCTTGACCCATTATTGGTGACCTATGTTTTATTTATTTATTTATTTATTTATTTATTTTTGAGGCAGGGTCTCACTCTGTCACCAAGACTGGAGTGCAGTGGTGTGATTATGTCTCTCTCCAGCCTTGACGTCCCTTGCTCAAGTGATCCTCCTGCCTCAACCTCCTGATTAGCTGGACTACAGGCATGTGCTGCTATGTCCAGCTAATTTTTGTATTTTTTTCTTTGTAGCAATGGTTTTTTTCCATGTTGCCCAGTCTGATTTCAAACTCCTGGGCTCAAGTGATCTACCTGCCTCAACCTTCCAAGGTGCTGGGATTACAGGCATGAACCAAGCTCAGCTAGTGACCTATTTTATATCATAGACATACACACACTCACCCTGGAGGAGATGAAAGGCACCCTAAGGAAGTTTACTTATCATTGAAAATATAATTGAAACATGAAACAAACAGGTTCTTTGAACTACGTATAAGAATTGACCATGCAACTCTTCATCTCTATGGGGTCTTGTCTTTCATCTTTGTATGTAAACCTAGGGACAGAATAGCAGGGTTTATTTAGCACTACCTTCCACTGGTTCTGAAACCATGCCATTATAGCCTCATGTGGTCTTATTTTTGAAAATGCAGGCTTTCCTTCTTCCTTTCCTTTTTCTTTACCTTTGTTATTGTTCTTAATGATAGACTAATTTGGTTCTCATATGAAAAAATGGGAATTCCTGGAAGTGTCTGATACATTTGAAGAAACTCAACAAAGTAAGATTTTATCTGAGCTTCCACCTAATAGATCATATTCTCAGCAACTAATCACACCTTCGTGAAATGCCAATGCAATTAAAAACCCCTGGAAGCTAAAGGAAAAGGAACCTTGTTTTGTCACTTGTCAGTTAAGCAGTTTCTGCGCTGAGCATCACTGTGGTAGAGCTTATCTATGTGTTCATGCAGCAAAGAGTCATAGGTGAAGTCAGAGGTTCCGAAATTGCATTGCCTGGTTTAACATAAATCTTCTCCACTTGCTAACTACGTGGACCTTGGTCTAATTGTCTCTTTTCTGAACTTCAGGTTCTTTAAGTGTTATCTCAGCATGATCCCTTCCTCACAAAGTTTCTATGAAGGCAGAATGAGGTGACACTTGCAATGCACACAGCACAGGGTCTGCCATATGGTAATTGTGCAAAACATATTGGCTGTTATGAATTTAAGTTAAATGTACAAGTCATTGGCCAACTCTAGAGGTTGCAGGAAACACAGATATTGATTTGTGAGATGGCCCTAATCCGCAGAAGAGACAGACTCAAAAGATGACTATGATATAAAAGTAGAAGTAATTAATGTATGAGAGAGGGAAAGATGAGCAAAGGACCAGGCAAGTGCAGAGGACAGAGGGGTCACTTCTGCTGAGGAAGCCCCCAGAAAGAGGACATGGAGGAGGTCACTTTTTGGTTTTAGTGAAAAATGAGAAGGAAACAAATTGACTATTTATTTTTTATTTTTATTTTTTTGAGACAAGGTCTCACTCTGTCACCCAGGATGCAGTGCAGTGGTGCTCGCAATCTTATCTCACTGCAGCCTTCATCTCCTGGGTTCAAGTGATTCTCCTGCCTCAGCCTCCTGAATAGCTGGGATTATAGGTGTGTGCCACCATGTCCGCCTAATTTTTGTATTTTTAGTAGAGACTGGGTTTCACCAAGTTGGGCAGGCTGGTCTGGAACTCCTGACCTCGGGTGATCCACCTGCCTCAGCCTCCCAAGGGCTGAGCCACCATGCCCGGCCTGAATTGACTTTTTAGTAGAAGACAGATGGACATTTTAGGAACAAAGAATGACGTTGGCAAAGATAAAAGGGATGTGAAAATGTGCATTGTGTTTGGGGGAAGGATGGTCCATTCCGTTTGGGTTAGAGCATGAAAAAAGTAAACATGATTTATGCTGCCTATGGCTGGAAATATAAGACCTGTACTTAATTTGGAAAGTAGAAAGGAGCCATTGAAAGTACAGTCACCCCTTGGTGTCCGTGGGGGGTTTGTTCCAGGACTCCAAGAAAACTGAAGTTCCTGATATAAAATGCTGTAGTGGTTGCATGTAACCTACACACATCCTCCTGTCTACTTTATTATTATTTGTTGTTATTTTTAATAATAGAGATGGGGTTTCACCATGTCGCCCAGGCCAGTCTCGAACTCCTGGTCTCAGGTGATCCGCCCACCTTGGTCTCCCAAAGTGCTGGGATTACAGGAGTGATCCACCACTCCCGGCCCCTCCCATATACTTTAAATCATCTGTAGATTACATATAATACCAAAGACAATGTGAGTGCTGTGTAAATAGTTGTTATACTGTGTTGTTTAGAGAATAATGACCAGAAGTTATTACCATTAGTCAAAGTCTATACATGTCCAGTACAGATGCAGTTTTTATCCAAATATTTTCTCTCTGTGATTGGTTGAATCTACAGATGTAGAATCCACAGATAAGGGAGGCCAACTGTACAATGTTCATGACCCTTCTTAGAAAAATGGCATTTAAGGAGTGTGTAGAAAATCTGTCCTGAGCTGCTTGATGAAATACTATGAATTTCTAAATTAGAACCAAACCATTTGTAGTGAATTCAGATATGTCATGGTGTTGTGTCGCCATTAAAACATTCTCCTTTGTGTTCATTGATGTGCACTCATTTTTTACACTTCTGTTTTTCCTGTGCAGGTGTGATCTCCATTCCTTTGTACATCCCTCACACAGTGTTTGAATGGGATTTTGGAAAGGAAATCTGTGTATTCTGGCTCACGACTGACTATCTTTTATGTACAGCATCTGTATATAACATTGTCCTCATCAGCTATGATCGATACCTGTCAGTCTCAAACGCTGTAAGTCAAAACATTAATTTATCCCCCTTAGAAGATTATGTAAATGTACGTGTTGGATTCCCAAGCAAAAATTCTTTGAAGCCTAATTTTTAATTTAATTGACAGACCTTGGAGGAGCCCTCTCCTTTTGTTGTCTGGCATAAAGTTCTTGCTGGTTGTTAGTTTGTATGATTTGGATAATTCACTCACCTAGGTGCTGTTGAAATGGGAAGAAATCAAAGAAAACCCAAGGCAAGTTGTCCCAGTTGGTATACTGAGTCTATAGTAGATTGGATGGACATGACATTCATGGTAGGTTTATCGGTTCCACTCCGTAGATATACTGAGACCTGAATATATTCCTTGGAATGGAACTTGGAGGACAGTAGAAAGAATCCCAGACTTTGAAATATGATGAGGGAATCAATTCTGAATGGCCAAAGGAAAAGACAGTTACAGGGAAGCTACAGTTTACACAGTGGGACCAGCCAGAAAGATCAAGTCCTCATGCCATTTAGAACCCATGCCCAGGAAGCCAGAACTTACTCAAGATTTGGAATAGCCTCATCTACGAGTTAGTGGAAATTCTTAAGTCAGGTAAATTTCTCAGCAATGGAACGAAGGAGAAAATAAGGTTGAAGTAAGGACAAGGGGGCCACAGAAATATGAAGCAGTGATCTAAAACCTTTGAGGCCTACATGGGAGGCCTTCATTCCCATCTCAGGGACCCAACTCTTTGGGAGACTACTGTGTGATAGGCATTTTGCTGAGTGCTGGCTTACAGAAGTGAATATGCAGAGTCTCTATTTTATCTTCTTTCGAACTTTTGTTTTGGGTTCAGGGGATATGTATTCAGCTTTGTTACGTGAGTAAGCTGCATGTTGTGGGGGTTTTGGTGTAGAGAATATTTTGTCACTTGAGTAATGAGCATAGTATCTGATAGGTAGTCTTTTTAATCCTCTTCTTCCTCCCACCCACCACCCTCAGGTAGGCCCCAGTATGTGTCGTTTCTTTTTTTGTGTGAGTCTCTATTTTTGACGAGCATAGTCATCTACATGGAGGTAGATCCAGGAACATGTGGATTCAGTACAATGGACCAAATGCTGTGCTGGGGGCCTTGAGAGGACAGTGACAGCTCTAGCCTGGGAGGATTGTGCAGCTGGAGGTTGACAGGATTGGAAGGTGTATTAGATCAGGCAAAGATAAACTACTGTGACAAAGAGACTCTAAAATGTGGAGGCTTAAGCAAGATAAAAGTTTGTTTTTCTCTCACACAACAGTCCATGAAAGGGTACATTCTCTGCTCTAGGAACTCACCCAGGAACCCTGCTGGCAGGTGGCTCTGCACCTTGTAGGGCAGGGACTGGCAAACCTTCACTATAAAGAGTCAGATAGCAAATATTTTTGGCTTTGTAGGACCTACGGTTTCCATTGCAACTGTTCAAATGTACCATTGTATCCCCCAAACAGCCATAGATAATATATACAAAAATGTACTTGGCTCTGTTTCAATAGAATTTTATTTATCCAAATAGGTGGTGGGCCACATTTGTTACTCTGTCACCCAGGCTGGAATGCAATGGCATGATCTTGGCTCACTGCAACCTCTGCCTCCCAGGTTCAAGTGATCCTCCTGCCTCAGCCTCCTGAGTAGCTGAGATTACAGGTGCGCACCACCACGCCTGGCTGATTTTTGTATTTTTAGTAGAGATGGGGTTTCACTGCGTTGGCCGGGCTGGTCTCGTACTCCTGACCTCAGATGATCCGCCTGCCTCTGCCTCCCAAAGTGCTGGGGTTACAGGCGTGAGCCACTGCACGTAGCCCATATCTATTATTTCATGGACAGTAGTTGTCTGGCCTCTGCTTTAGGCCATTCTCCTCTGCATGGTCAAAGTCAGGTTGTTGTCATACTAGATTCTGGACAGGAAGGGGAAAGGGAAGAAGTTCAGAGCAAAGGATTTTTCTTTTAACCAAGTAGTGCAGAGTCACGCAGTCATTTCCACTTACATTTAATTGGTGAAACTTAGTCACATGGTCCCATCTTGCCACAAAGGAAGCTGGAAAACTCTAGTTGAGCCACCACATAGTCAGGAAGGAGGGGAGAATGGATGTGGGAGGGCAGCCAGCTGTGTCTGCCCCTTAGCATTGAGTACTTCATTGGCACCAGAGTCCACTGCAGTTTGTATTGTATGCAGACAGTGCAGATCAGCTTAGATTAACAATTCAAATGCCTATAGTCTCATATTTTTCAAACTGCTAGCCTTGACCCATTATTGATTTATGAAATCAGTTTAGTGGGCTGTGACCTTTGTTTTCAGTGAAAAAATACGTAATGAAATAGAATAGAACAGCTGAGGATGGTGGCTCACATCTGTAATCCCAGCACTTTGGAAGACCAAGGTGAGTGGATATCTTGAGGTCAGGAGTTGGAGACTAGCCTGGTCATTAGGGTGAAACCCCATCTCTACTAAAAATACAAAAAAATTAGCCAGGCATGGTGGTGCTTGCCTACAATCCCAGCTACTTGGGAGGGTGAGGCAGGAATATTGCTTGAACTTGGGAGGTGGAGGTTGCAGTGAGCTGAGATTGCACCATTGCATTCCAGCCTGGGTGTCACAGCAAGACTTCATCTCAAAAAAAGAAAAAAATATTGAATAGAACAAAATAAAAAATTAGAAAACATCAGAGTATCTTGAATGTAAGAAAATTAAATACTGTTTTATGAATACTTTCATCTGTGTTCTTGGTTATGATATATAATATATTTTTTACTTTAGATCACAGTCAAGTGTTTGAAAAACAGTGCTCTAATTCAGAATCTTTCCCATTTGCACTTTACATTTTTTCCTTTCTTTCTGGGTTAACATTTCTTTTTAATCTCCACTGGATGTTCCTAGGGCTTCCTTATCTGGATGGCTCAGCTTTTGAATTTACTCTCAGGTTTAGGGGCAGAAAAGGGACAGCTTACCCAGTTGGGCAAAGTACTTAGAGGTTATAGAGAGATGAGGGATGATGCCCAGAGAGAATTAGACTTTCTTTTTGTTTATTATTATTATTTTTTATTTTTATTTCTTTGAGACAGAAATAAAATTTCTTTCTTGCTCTGTCCCCCAGGCTGGAGTGCAGTGGTACACTCTCGGCTCACTGCAAACTCGGCCTCCTGGGTTCAAGCCATTCTCCTGCCTCAGCTTCCTGAGTAGATGATATTACAGGTGCACAACACCACGCCCAGCAAATTTTTGTATTTTTAGTAGAGAAGAGGTTTTGCCATGTTGGCCAGGGTGATTTCTTTTGACCTCAAGTGATCCTCCTGCCTTGGCCTCCCGAAGTGCTAAGATTACAGGCGTGAGCCACCGTGCCTGGCGTGTTTTTTGTTTTTAAATCCTAGTCTTGCCCCAAGGAATTCCCCTGGCAATTCAGGCTGTAAACCTGATGAGGGATGGGTTGGCTAGGTCCTGGGTCCCCTGTGCACAGCACAGAGTAGAATACATAGGTTCCACAAATGAATGTGTGGGTGCTGGCAGGGATGCTCAGGCAGACCTTGTACCTCTGCTGGCGAATAGTTCAAATGCAGCCATGTGAAAACAGAAGGAAGCCTTCAAAGACCACTGGGAGCCCATAGGAAGCAGCAGTGGGGGAGCTGAACCCTTACTATAGCTGAAAGTAAGAAAGGGGAAAGGGATGGGTGGCCTGGGAAATGGAAAGCTGACAATAATTTGGAAAAGAAAAGCTCAGTGCAGGTGGAGCACATAATTACAGTCCTCAGAGAGGTTTTCTGGAGGGGCAGATTCCATGTGGCTGAAGTCAGAGTTGGGTGGGGAAGAACAGCAGGTCTTCATGATAGCTGGAGGGAATGGGAATTAAAATGTACATAGAGGCTGGGCATGGTACATAGAGGTGGCTCACGCCTGTAATCCCAGAGCTTTGGAAGGCAGAGACTGGCAGATCACTTGAGGTCAGGAGTTGGAGATCAGCCTGCCCAACATGGCAAAACCCAGTCTCTACTAAAAATACAAAAATCAAATGAGCTTGGTGGTGGGTGCCTGTAATTTCAGCTACTCAGGAGGCTGAGGCAGGAACTTGAACCTAAAAGGTGGAGGCTGCAGTGAGCCGAAATTGGACCACTGCACTCCAGCCTGGGTGACAGAGCGAGGCTCCATCTCAAAAAAAAAAAAAAAAAAAAAAAAAAAAAGCCAGGCATGGTGGTTCATGCCTGCCATCCCAGCACGTTGGGAGGCTGAGGCAGGCGGATCACCTGAGGTTGGAAGTTCGAGACCAGCCTGACCAACATGGAGAAACCCTGTCTCTAATAAAAATACAAAATTAGCTGGGTGTGGTGGCGCATGCCTGTAATCCCAGTTACTTGGGAGGCTAAGACAGGAGAATTGCTTGAACTTGGGAGGTGGAGGTTGTGGTGAGACGAGACAAGATCATGCCATTGCACTCCAGCCTGGGCAATGAGAACAAAACTTCGTCTCAAAAAAAAAATTGTACACAGAATTAAGATAGTAAAAGAAGGGTATTTCTTTACTGGCAGGAGAAGAAAGAAACTTGACAATAAAATCAAGACCACAGGAAATCCTGCCCTGGGAGGACTCGCTGGGACATGATGCTTGTTGCTAGGGCTACCATAACAAGACCACAAACGGGGTTGCTGAAAACAACAGGAATTTATTCTCTCCCATTTCTGAAGATTAGACATTTAAAATCAAGGTGCCGACAGGGCCATCCTTTCTCGGAAGGCTCCGGGACACCTTGTTCTGTGCCTGTCCTTTAGCTTCTGGTGTTGCCAGCAACCCCTGGCATTCCTTGGCTTGTAGATGCATTCCTCCAGTCTTTACCTCTGTTGTAACGTGGTGTTCTCTCCCTGGGTCTGTGTCTGTTTTTCTGTTTTCTCTTCTTATAAGGACATATTGGATAGGGTGACCCCTAATTCAGTATGAGCTCATCTTGATTACATCTGCAAACACCATATTTCCAAATAAGGCCACATTTGCAGGTACTGAGGGGTTGAGGACATCACCATACCTTTTTGTGGGACACAATTTAAGCCACAACAGGCATTTAGAATGGTCCTGAAATCCATCTCATTATCACCAACAAGTTCTAGTAGGCTGCTCAGCCTCTCGAAAGAAAACCCTGATTGACAGAAGGCGTGGACATTTTATTGGGGTGGGGCAAAAAGTAGAGTAAGAGACAGTGTCCTGAATAACAGACATATTCCATAGTGGGCAAGAACTAGGCCACTGCGGGATTTCAGGGACACCACTCCATGCAGCCTGAGTCCGGATTCAACCAATGCCTGAGCTGTCTGTCTTTCGAACATCCTCCCTGGAGATGCAGAGATCAGCATCCTCTTCACAGCTCCTTGGCTGTCCATTATTTCAACTGACCTTATGCATAATGGAAGAGAGATCATTTTCCAACATATTGTGTTGTATCATTACCAAGGCTGAGCAGAGCAATTAGAAAACTAAACGCAGCTTTAGGACCATCTGGGTATTGTTACCATCTTCATAATCATTAGATTTAGTGCAAGAGATGTATTAATTAGTGGCACAGGAAGCAGCAGGCCAAAAAAAAAAAGTGTATCACATATGAGAGCTTGTGGTCAGCACCATAGGCATTTTAACTTAGCCTCAGAAAAACACAACCAACCCACCTCCCTACAGTTAAAAAAAAAAAAAACGTAGTGTTTTTATTGTTAAATTATTAACTAGCTTTCTTTTACCTCCAGCCAATAGAGGTCTTCTCAGCCTGTATAATCCAACAAAGAAAGCATGCTGGGCAATGTTGCACCCCTTTAAAACCACTGCAGAATGAGACTCAAACACTCACAGAAAAAATATGACACAAGAAATAGAAAAAAGGGGGCATGTTCCAATTACATGGGTAGATCAGTTTTTTTTTCCTGGAGTGAGGAAATCAGAGAAACATGGAACATGTGAGCTGAAAGGAACCTTGGAACCTTACTGATTCATTTTTTTGAAACCTTACTGATTTAAATAAGGTTCAGAGAGGTTGTCTGTTCCAGGTCGCCTTAAAGAATTCCTTATCGCTCATATAGTGATTGGTCTTAGGTGTCTTTAGATTTAGAAGACATTCTTATAGATTTTATAAGGATTGACATAAGGATTTTGGATCCTGTGATCAGAGGGCAGTCCTCACTCACAGAATCTCATTATCCTTTATAGAAGCCTGTCCTTGTGACCAAATGGAGTTAGAATATTCTTCATTCTTAAAAAAGACAGTGGCACTAGTCACAGTCGTGTCTCTCAAAGTGGATGGTCATCACGGCTTTGACACTATATTTGTCAGATGGAAAGGCTTGCACAAAGAAGGGGCGTGGGTGGGCTGGGTGAGCTCAAGTTTATAATCACAGCATTTTGAGAGGCTGAGACACAAGGATCACTTGAATCCAGGAGTTTGAGACCAGCATGAGCAACCTAATGAGACACTGTCTCTGTAAATAACAACAGCATCAAAAATGTAGCCAGGTGTAGTGGTGTTCATCTGTGGTCCTAGCCACTTGGGAGGCTGAAGCAGGAGGATGACTTGATCCTAGGCAGCCTAGGCACAGCTGCAGTGAGCTGTGATTGTGCCACTGCACTGCAGCCTGGGCAACAGGACAAGACTTTGTCACAAACAAACAGACATCAGGAAGCGACTTGGTAATGCTTAACAGCAATGTGGTATTTATCTGCAGCAGGTTTAAAAATCTTTTTTGGGCCGGGTGTGGTGGCTTACACCTGTAATCCCAGCATTCTGGGAGGCTGAGGTGGGCAGATCACCTGAGGTTAGGAGTTTGAGACGAGCCTGGCCAAGATGGTGAAACATCGTCTTTACTAAAAGTATAACAATTAGCCAGGTGTGGAGGCAGGCACCTGTAATCGCAGCTATTCAGGAGGCTGAGGCAGGAGAATTGCTTGAACCTGGGAGGTAGAGGTTGCAGTGAGCCGAGATCATGCCATCGCACTCCAGCCTGGGCGACAAGTATGAAACTCCATCTAAATAAAATAAAATAAAAGTATTTTTGTCTGTGATTAATCTTGGGAGTGATAAGAATCCTTTCTCTTTTTGATTCCACCTTGAAGTCTGAGCAAAAACCGCAGAGTAGATTCTTTTGGAATATTGGAATCAGATTAGGCAATGACTTTCAAACTTTTTTGACTGTGACTACAGTGAGAAATGCGTTTGGCACTGTGATTCAGAGAAACAGCATTTCTCCTTACATATGTGTATCTCTGTTTCCCAAGATATATTGCTTTGTTTCATGAAACATCATCAAAGAACAGCTACCCTCACTATGTGTGATGCATTCTGATATCAACTACTCTATTTCATCAAAATGCTTCAGCTTGCAGATTGAGCAATACTGTGGGAAGGTGTGCCCAACTTCAGTTGTTTGACATTCAGATTAGTGTCAATTAGGAAAAACTGCTTTCTTATTTTAGACATTGGCCTTGATATTTTCTATAGTATCAGAGATTTAACCTTGAAGGTTACTGTCTTCTCCCCTGAAAACCATTAAGAAAGTTTGCATCTTGGCCCAGGCTCCACTGAAGTCGAACTGTCTGCCCTGGTCCACATTATGATACCCATGTTAGTTAATGTCTCCATCCTTTGCACATCCCCAAAATTTCTAAGGGCCTATGAGATACTTTATACATTCAATATGCATTTATTTTATTGAAAATAATTTGTTTGGTCTCTTCTAGGTGTCTTATAGAACTCAACACACTGGGATCTCGAAGATTGTCACTCTGATGGTGGCTGTTTGGGTGCTGGCCTTCTTAGTGAATGGGCCAGTGATTCTAGTTTCAGAGTCTTGGAAGAACAAAGATAATGAATGTGAACCTGGATTTTTTTCAAAATGGTACATCCTTGCCATCACATCATTCTTGGAATTCCTGATCCCAGTCACCTTAGTCGCTTATTTCTACGTGAGTATTTATTGGAGCCTGTGGAAGCGTGATCATCTCAGTAGGTGCCAAAGCCATCCTGGACTGACCACTGTCTCTTCCAACACCTGTGGACACTCATTCAGAGGTAGACTATCTTCAAGGACATCTCTTCCTGCAGTGACAGAAGTGTCTGCATCCCTTCATTCAGAGAGACCGAGGAGAAAGAGCAGTCTCATGTTTTCCTTAAGAACCAAGATGAATAAAAATAGAATTGCTTCCAAAATGGGTTCCTTCTCCCAATCAGATTCTGTAGCTCTTCACCAAAGGGAACATGTTGACCTGCTTAGAGCCAGGGGATTAGCCAAGTCACTGGCCATTCTCTTAGGGGTTTTTGCTGTTTGCTGGGCTCCGCACTCTCTGTTCACAATTGTTCTTTCATTTTACTCCTCAGCAACAGGTCCTAAATCAGTTTGGTACAAAATCGCATTTTGGCTTCAGTGGTTCAATTCCTTTCTCAATCCTCTTTTGTATCCATTGTGTCACAAGCGCTTTCAAAAGGCTTTCTTGAAAATATTTTGTATAAAAAAGCAACTTCCACCATCACCACATCAGTCATTATCTTCTTAAAAGACAGTTTTCTCACTTCTGTAAATTTTAGTCTCAATCTCACCTAAAGGAATTGGATCTAGCCTTTATCTTACCCTTTCCATTCTACCAACAAATCTGTACTTTGAAGTCAATGGAAAATTACTCCAGTGAATAATAGCAGTATAATGAATCGATAATATTTTTGTAAACTTGGGGCCATAATAGTAATACGTCATTCTTAGTCATTACCTCTTCCTTATCTTTTAGATGTTAATATCATGTTGATTACAAAAACAACAACAACAACAAAAACCCAAAATCCAGTTTTTGTTTTCTATGTTCCATGTATAATAGTCTTAGGTGAATTTCTCTTTTTTATTTTGTAGTAATAGAAACTTATTCAGTTTGAAAATCATTCCCTAAAGCATGCACTAGGAAAAAGAGCCTCCTGGCTGGGACTGCCCCACTCTCTTCTGGTCAGTGGGTGGGCAAGGTGGGGTTTGAGCTGGCAAGAGCAGGGAACAGGAATGTGCCCAGGTGAGCTCCTGTGGGCTTCCAAATTTTGTATTCCCTATCCCAGGAAGGGAGAAAGCATAGTGTGGGAGAGGAAAGAGCTGATGACTGCCACTCTCAAAGGTCCTCAGTAAAGTTATTTTGGAGGTGCTGGTAGTCACAGGATCAGAAAGCAAGAGATAGACAATGGTCACCAGTGGTTGAAAGTATGGCTTGTCCCTTTTCTTCCTGTTCTGTTCTTCCAGCTTCCACATCAGCCTCTTTTTGTTAGAAAATATGGAAGAGGAAGGCTAACAGATGGTGAAGGGACTACATGATTAAACTAGACAGACCTGGTGTACAGTCACTGAACTAGTAGATGCCAATAATAATTATTTTAAAAAATGTTTATTGAAGAGAGTGTCTTGCTTTGTCTCCCAGGCTGGCGTGTAGTAATGCAATCATAGCTCACTGTGGCCTTGAACTCCTTGGCTCAAGCAATTCTCCTGCCTCAGCCTCCCAAGTATCTAGGACTACAGGTACTCACCACCACACCTGGATAATTAAAAAATTATTTTTGTAGTGATGAAGTCTCACTGTGTTGCCCAGGTTGGATGTCAATAATTATTTTTTTAAGAAACATTAAAAAAATGTTTTTGAACAGATTCTTGCTCTGTTACCCAGGCTGGAGTGTAGTAGCATGATCAGGGCTCACCACAACCTCTGCCTCCCAGGTTCAAGCAGTTCTTGTGCCTCAGCCACCTGAGTAGCTGGGATTACAGGTGCATGCTACCATGCCTGGCTAATTTTTATATTTTTAGTAGAGATGGGGCTTTGCCGTGTTGGCCAGGCTGGAATTTTTTTATTTTGATAAGACAGGATCTCGTCATGTTGCCCAGGCTGTTCTCAAACTCCTGGGATGAAACAGTCCTCCCACCTTGGCCTCCCAAAGTGTTGGGATTATAGGCATGAGCCACCATAATAATTATTGCCTGGATGTCAATTATTATTTTAAAATATTGTTGTATTTATGTAATGTCTTTAATGCATTTGCTCAATATTTTACATTGCATTGTTGAGTTATTCCTTTATTATTTGGTTAGTATAGGTTATATTTTACTGATAAAATCACATTCACATCGTTGGGTGATGTTTTGTCCTTTTTAAAAATTTTCTTTTGAGACGGGGTCTTGCTCTGCTGCCCATGCAGGAGTGCAGTGGTGTGCTCTCAGCTCACTGTAGCCTTGACTGCTGGCTCCAGCAGTCCTCCTACTTCAGCCTCCAGAGTAGCTGGGACCACAGGCACTTGCCACCATGCCCCACTAAAAGTTTTTAAATTGCTCTCTTTCTTGAAGTGTTCTCTGTCTGTCCTTGTCACAAAATTTCATTTTTTTCTCATAGTTAATTTCATCTTTCCTGTAAGATTTTATTGGTGTTTCTTTTATAACTTTGTAGTTCTTACACAATTTAGTCATTTTTATGTTTCTTAGAAACTTTAAGCTTTTGATTAACTTCAAACACTAAAATACGAAAGTCTTGTAAGTACATGAGTGCTTAGAAATGTACATAACTTTTATATACTCTTATGCCTTACATCAAAGTTCAATATGAGAAATACGTGTTTAACATTCAATAGTAATTTGAAAATTTTGAGACATAAACTCTCTCAAGTGCACACATTTTTATAAACTTGCTGCTTGTCTGCTGTTGATTTTAACATTTATATAAATTAGTAGTTGTGGATTTCATATGATCACTGGGGGCTTGAATGTTCATGGAATGGAGTAGTCCTATGAAAACTTTTCCCAATTGAACCCTAGGGTTTTTTTTTTTTAAATGTATTTTCTACAGTATATATAAAATACAATATGTATTACATTTCATTCAATCTAAGATGCTGTCAAGAAAAGACATATTGTCATTTTATTTACTGTATTAGTCCATTTTCATGATGCTGATAAAGACATACCCGAGGCTGGGAAGAAAGAGAGATTTAATGGATTTACAGTTATATAGGGCTGGGGAGGTCTCACGAACATAGTGGAAGGCAAGGAGGAGCCAGTTACTTCTTACATGGGTGGCGACAGGCAAAGAGAGAGAGCTTGTGCAGGGGAACTTTGTTTTTAAAAGCATCAGATCTTGTGAGACTCATTCACTATCACAAGAACAGTGCAGAAAAGACCCACTGCTATAATTCAGTCACCTCCTACAGGGTTCCTCCCACAACACATGGGAATTGTGGGAGTTACAATTCAGGATGAGATTTGGGTGGGGAAACAGCCAAGCATTATAAAAGAGAAAATGCTGCAAATTGTCTGATAGAATGCTTTAAAAAAATCACATTGATGATAAGCTTCATTCTGATTTTAGAGTTCAGAAGTGGACAATATGTGTCTTAGAAGTGATGGAATATGATATGTGTGTGATAAATGAACTGAGTGAAGCTAATCTATGAAACGAGAGTTTGAAGAATAAATCCTATGATGGTACATGTGTGTATTCATTAAACAAGTGTTTACTGAGGGTCTATCATGTATTGGCTACTTATTGTAAAAATGCCTATGAACCATGCCAGTAAGGTTTAGATTCTCCAGGAACAGGAATTTTACTTTGGGGTTCTTTTAGTACACTACCAGGCACGCCATAGATGCTCAGTAGATGCTTACTGAAAAGGCATAGCATACTTGAGGCATTTTCATTCAAATGGAAGGTGAATCCCAGCTTTAAAATTCCAGTATTTAAAATTTGCACTAGAGGAACTTTAAAATATGTTTTCCATTATAATAAAAGCAATGTCTACTTATTGTAAGAAGAAAAGACATTATTACAACAATTCCTGTATATAAGGTGTAGCCATAATGATTAGTTCAGTGAATGTATTAGTTTGTTCTAGCATTGCTATAAGGAACTACCTAAGACTGGGTAATTTATAAAGAAAAGAGGTTTAATTGTCTTACAGGTCATCAGATTGTACAGTAAACATGTCTGCGAGGCCTCAGAAAGCTTACAATCATGGCAGAAGGTGAAGACAAAGCAGGCATGTCTTATATGGCCAGAGCAGAAGGAAGAGAGAGAAGGGGAAGGTGCTACACACTTTTAAACAACCAGGTCTGTTGAGAACTCACTATCATGAGACCAGCAATGGGGAAATCTGCCCCCATGATCCAGTCGCCACCAGGCCTCAACTCCAACATGGGGGATTACAACTTGAGATTTAGGTGGGGACACAAATTCAAACCATATCAGCATAGATGTTTCTAAAGAAAAAAAAACAAACCATAATGTGATCTCATTTTTTGGAAACATATATTTGTACATGTAAATTTCTAAAGATATCTTCAGGCAAATGGTTTCATAAAATGAGGTCTTCTGTTTTAGAATGAGTAATCACTGCCCTCTCCCCTAAACGTGGCTGGCTTATAAAATCTGATTTTTAAATATTTATTTGCTCATCTTAAATCCAGATCCAAATCCACTGGCATAATTGGCAGAATAGTCCTAAGAATATTGGCTCCTAAGTATTGGCTTCCATTGGTATGTATAGAAATGGACTCCTGAAGAGTGAAGAGGGCTTTGGGATATAAATGCTGATTAGGAATGACACTGCAGGTCAAGTGGTTTTTTTTGTTGTTGTGGTGTTTCAAGACAGAGTCTTGCTCTGTCGCCCAGGCTGCAGTGCAATGGTGCAATCTCGGCTCACTGCAATCTCTGTCTCCTGGGTTCAAGCAATTCTCCTGCCTCAGCCTCCCGAGTAGCTGGGATTACAGGTGCCCACCACCATGCCCTGCTAATTTTTATATTTTTAGTAGAGATGGGGTTTTGCAATGTTGGTCAGGCTGGCCATGAATTCCTGACCTGAGGCAATCCACCCACCTCAGCCTCTGATTACAGATGTGGGATTACAGATGTGAGCCACCGTTCTCCACTGCTCAGGTGTTTTTATGAGTCATGAAGCTTTCAACATGAGTAGCTGAAGTATCCTAAGAGCGATTTTTTTCTCTTTTTTTTTTTTAGATGGAGTCTCACTCTATTGCCCAGATTGGAGTGCAGTGGTACAATCTTGGCTCACTGCAGCCTCTGCCTCCTGGGTTCAAGAAATTCTGCTGTCTCAGCCTCCCTAGTAGTTGGGATTACAGGCATCTGCCACCACATCCATCTAATTTTGGTATTTTAGTAGAGAGGGAGTTTCACCATGTTGGCCAGGCTGGTCTTGAACTCCTGACCTCAGGTGATTCACCCACCTCAGCCTCCCAAAGGGCTGGTATTACAGGCATGAGCCACTGCATTTGGCTCTAATAGGGATTTTACAGAGCTATTTTTGTGGCTTTTTGGTAAAAATTTTCCTGTAGTAAAGATCTTTGTATTTGAAGAAACTCTTTTTCACATTATGATTTCAGAAAAAGAAATTCTAGAATACAAAGTAAATTTTTATTGTAATAATTGCCATCAGTCAAAGTTGAATGAAGCAAAGAGAAACCATGTTAATTATTTTAAGCAGAAGGAATTTGATCCAGGGAATTGGTTAACCCAGAGATTAATACTTTGAGAAAACAGCTAACATCTTTAAGAACTGAGAGAATATGGAGAATATAAAGGGAAAATGATGTCAGCAAAATCTAGGATCTTGGAGAAGTCTCTGGAGGACTGATGCTTGGATTTCTGATTGATTCGTGATGCTTTGTGGTTAGGGGCTTGGGCATCCCAATGGGTGGGGCCAGCTAGTGCTCAGACTGCCACGTCGGGTTGAGGGGACAGTCATGGCGGCTGCTGCTGGTGCCTCGGACGGGGTGCACTGAGGTAGGAGGCTTTCTGTGCACTGCCGCTGAAGGGAAGCCAGCTCACTCGGGAAGTGCTGTTTCTTCTCAGTACTTCCTGTCTTCCTATTTCTTGCCAGTGTTTTCCATTGGTGGAAGCTAACTGAAAGCCAGCTGACGAGAGAGACTGAGAAATAAGATGTGACTCCTGGCTCCAGCCTATGGTGTGGTGTCTACAACAGTGGGGCTGAAGCTTATAGACAACAGAGAAATAACTGGCAAAAGCATCTTGTGTTTAAGCATAATAAAGTAGAACTTTGGCCTTTAGGGATTTCACACCTTCAGTTTCAACTCTACCATAAGCAGCCTGCTACTCCATAACATATTGTAATTTGTAGTTTTCTTTTTCTTTCTTTCTTTTCTTTTTTTTTTTTTTTTGAGACAGAGTTTCACTCTGTCACTCAGGCTGGAGTGTAGTGGCACAATCTCAGCTCACTGCAGCTTCCGCCTCTCAGATTCAAGCAGTTCTCCTGCCTCACCCTCCCAAGTAGCTGGGACTACAGGCATGTGCCACAGTGCCTGGCTAACTTTTGTATTTTTAGTAGAGACAGGGTTTCCCTATGTTGGCCAGTCTGGTCTTGAACTCCTGGCCTTAAGTG